TGGGATACCAGAGATCCCGCTTGGGGTTCTTTTCTTAAGCCCAGTCGGCGTGGAGATGGACGGAAGCCGAGTCTCGCGGATCTCGCTGATCCTGGCCCGTAATGACATATGCATAGCAAGGTCCTCGTCCTCGTCAATATGGGCCATCCCATTGACAACTCCATTCTGATTAGAGGGGTTACTGAGCGAGGACCGTGGTCGACGGCTCTCGGTGGTCGGGTTAGTCGAGTAGTGCCCCAGCGGTGTCTTGGTACGACTCTGGCGGCTCTCTGGGCGTGTGGATGGAGTCACGCTCGGATGTGTACTGTGACTGACAGAGCTGTGGCTCGAGTAACTAGTGCGACTGCTTGGGCGACTATCCCCCTGTGTCCTAGCACCAAAGGACGGTCGACTGTGCGGAGCATAAGAAGGGACACTATCACCGTCTCGAACAGACGAGCTAAAACTACTCCCACTCAACCGTTTGCGCGAGTTCCTTCGTGCTGTTATTGTAGATGCAACCGGACTTTCGCCCAATATCGACCCCGAACGAGAAGACGTACGGGACGGTGAATCCGACGGGGGTGGCAGTTTGGATTTTGCAGATTGGACTCTCTCCTCGAGCTTCTGCATCTTGCCAATGAGTCCACGAATTTGGTACAGTGAACCCGACTTCGGCAGTCCAGACGACCGGGCATTATTATTATTCTTGTTGGTGTTTTCATTGGGCTTGGGTTTCGGCTTGGGTAAGCTGGGCCGATTCGTAACTGACGGCGTGGGGCGGTTATTCGTAAAAGCGTAGGACGTTGAACGCGAGTGGTTGTTATATTTCTGAGTCCGGGACCCATGCAGCGACCGACTACCAAATGACGAGTCAGAAGCCGAAGCCTTCTGAAGAGGAAAACCGGGCATAGCATTCATTGACTTGCGCAGGCTGCTCGACGACTCGGATATCGGCGGTGACGGAGGCGTTGCCGTGGCGGACATGAGCGAGGTTTTCAATGTAGGGGTCGAGAATAAAGGCGAGGAAACTATGGATGAAGCAGGAGAACGATTGAAGAGATCCGGTGTCTGTGGTGTCGATGGACTGCGCAACGAGATAGGCTTCCTGCGTCGGCTATTTTGCAGTTCTGCATTCCGGAGCTTTTCGTGGATGATTTCCGTTTCGATCTTCAGATCCGAGAGCTCATCACGCAGACGTTGATTCTCGATGCGCAAGTTCTCCCGCTCCTGCTCGCCGGTTCTCATTTCCTCTTCCAATAAGACTGCTCGTTCGATGGCGACGTTGTACTTGGACTCCAGATCCTCCAGGGACGAAGTCGTATGCCGGGCTTGACGTTCATAATCATCGTTTGCGACCTCGATGTCTCGCAATTTCAGCTGTAGCGTCCGGTTTGCATCCCTCAAAGTCGTGATCTCTTTCTGTAACGTGTTCTGGGCCGAGTTTCCCTCCGACTTGGATTGCTTGTACTTGGTCTGCCGAGGAAGTGACAGGTTAGCCCTCAGTCCATCATCAGCAATAAAGGTAGGAAACTCCAATCTGACCTTCCACTCCTCGACCTCATATTTCAAGCTATCCACCTTCTCCTTCAACAACCGTTCCCGCTTCTCAGATGCCTCGATATCCTTTTCCAGCTCCGCCTCCAGCTCACGGCTGGAGGCCTGGAAGTCCGCTAGCTCAGCCTCTAATTGCTCATACTGCGACTTATACCATGCAAGCTGATCCGACCGGGAGCTGGTACCGTTGGGGCGAGCAGAGGAAGAACCATCGGCCGAGGGCATTATTCCGATACCAGGGGGGCGGTATGACCGAAGATGGACACGGAGGTCGTGCGCAAGAGCAAAGGTAACGACTCACTATCAAGCAGTGACTTGAAACACAGTGAGAGTGTTGGCCACGAAACAGCTGGAAACCGAGCTCAAGCACGTCGCGAATAGTATCAACAACCGTGCGTGAACCGGTGGAGGGGACCCCTCGCGGAGGCGGTGTCGCAGTTGATCGGGAGTTATAACAGGGACTCGAGAGTTGATAGAGACAAAGGACGAAAACAGAAATAAAGAAGAGAAAAACAATACCAAATCAAATGAAGTTGAAGACCGAGAAGATCCAAAACTTACCTTTGCGGAACCCTCGCAGAGGGGGCTGGTCGAAACATGGATGATTGTTTTGGGGGGGTTTGTGATTGTGATGGTGATGTTATCCAGCTGGATTGGCGTACAGACTAGACAGATAGATAGTGCCGTGTCCACGGGAACAAAACAACCTCACCAACTGGATTAAGCACTAGCATACCGCTTTAGAGTACTTTTAGGTACCTAAGGTACTGTGACGGAGTTGAGTGCAAACAGTGCAAACAGCTCAGCGAACGTGACTGCCCTCTTCCTTTCCTTTCCTAACGAAGTTATGAATTCTGCTACTCTCTGTATCTACCATAACTTTCATCCATCCATAATCACAAAGAATCGAATATCATCAGTGCCATCGAATCCCATCGTAAAGTCTGCAGTACTTTGGGTGCTCATAGTGTCCGCAGGTAACTTAGTTGGCGGTAGGTACCAGTTAGGTACAAAAGGTACAAGGCTTTGTACCTGACGACAACTGTCACATGGTAATTAATCAGTTGCGGTAGTGTAACAAGTACTATATATTACAACCTCATAAAAACAGTACTAGTCCTATAGTGGTCTAGTACCGGTCTCGTCCTTCAGCTCGATTTCCACCGCCCGCGATGTGCGTATTCCGACGATCAAAGGTCAGTGACTGCTCTGGGGGCATGCCTCATGGGCAGTGGAAGTCTGGGGCAACAGAAAGTGATCTGGAGGTTATTATTGCTTGATTCCCACCTTCCCAGTTATATTCCCTGATTTTGGTCCGGTAAGTTGCTATTGTCCACTTGTTTGCCCTCTCTGCTTGTTTTTCCCTCCTATCGGACTCTTACGGGGACTTCTTCCCTCCTTACTCCTTCACCTTCAGCCTAGTCTCCATGCTAGGGTGGTGGATCGTGTTATATCCACGCACATCATACTACTCACAGTAGACCGGAGAGTTGCTTCCACGCACATGGAAAATCGATAAACAGCTACCCTTCCGGTCGATCTGAGATGGCCATTGAGCTTTCAAATTTGTTTCCTTCTCTCCTTAACAGAGCTTGGTGACGGGTCACCATGGACCTATGATGCTAATATGGCGCTCTCCAGATCTCGTCTTTCCCGTGAAGATCCACACGACTTGTTGAGATGGCGGACCCCACCGATCTGAATCTCGATGCGCCCAGCGATCTTCAAGATATCCCAGATATGTCCATGCAGCTTGTGCCTCCTCCAGAAGGAACATATCCCGATAAGTAAGTATGCGTGAAATTATGCTAGCCACCCTTTTGTCACCCAATTCTAGATACATTGTTTGGACCACTACTCATATCCTTCCTTACATGTAAAGAGCCACTCTTCTTGCAGCAGTGCAAGCTCACAGCAAAGCACATGGATACAATGTTGTGGTCAAGTCATCCAGTACTCCTACCGAGAAGAAGCCCGGACGTACAGCTAAAGTGTGGCTCCGGTGCGATCGGGGAGGCCATTATCGGCCCCGGAACGGGCTCACAGAGGAGACGAGAAAGCGACGACGAACATCTCGTTTGATGGACTGTCCGTTTATGCTGGTCGCAGCTGGTACTCCTGGCATCTGGACGTTGACAGTGTTAAATCCAACTCATAATCACGGGCCTATTGTCGAGAAGCCGCGACCAGTACCGCAGCATAAGGTTCGAAAGGGCCAGATTTCAGCGGTTCCCTATGATTGGCCGCATGATGCGACTCTAACACCATATACGACTGCTTTAGTCATCATCGATATGCAGAAGGATTGTATGTATTCCGCATGGCTATATTGCGCTTGGGCCCCGAATGCTCATCACTGACGGTCATCGCAGTTTGTTCGCCTGGCGGTTACATGGAATACCAAGGATACGACATTTCAGCAGCGCAGAGTCTCATACCCAAACTGCAGCAGGTGCTGAATACATTCCGTACTGCCGGATTTCCTGTTTACCACACTCGTGAAGGTAAAAAGCCCGATACTCTAGTCTCGGTGGTGGACTTCTGATTGACATTGCTGTAAAGGTCATCGGCCTGATTTATCAACTCTCCCAAATAGAGAGGCGTTTCGGTCGCGGAATAATGCATCCGGCATGGGAATTGGCTCCCAAGGGCCGTTGGGGCGTTTGTTGATACGCGGCGAAGTCGGACACGACATCGTCGACGAACTGTATCCGCTGCCTGAGGAGCCGGTCATCGACAAACCGGGTAAAAGTGCGTTTTCGTACACGGATTTTGAGCTTCTTCTTCGAAACAAAGGCATCAGGAATCTGGTCATTGCAGGCGTCACGACGGATGTCTGTGTGTCAACGACGATGCGGGAGGCGAACGACAAAGGCTTCGACTGTGTCATTCTGGAAGACTGCACTGCCGCGGGCGAGCCGTCCCTCCATGTGAGCACGCTTGAATCCGTCAAGATGGAAGGCGGCATCTTTGGCGCCGTCGCCAAAGCAGACGACGTGATCCATGCGGTGGAGAATTTCAAAAACAGCACTGTGAAGAAGCTGGCCCCTCAAATGACGGCATGAAGTGGGTCGGAGTAATCTTGGGGAGGCGTTCTGTTGGGTCTGGGAAACAGCGACAGCGACATATCTTTCTTGCTTTTCAGTCCCCATTTCGCATACATTTGGGAGACGTACTTTCGTCCGTTCATCTTGCAGGACATGCTCCATCCTTTGCACATTAGCGAGCTTATAATTGCATGCCAAATTCCCCTGGGTCTATGCAAGCGAGGTTTTGAGAACAGAGCAACAATATGGGATACTCTGCATTGGTACACGGCGCAGAGGTTAATGGGCATCAAATAAATACACGAGTTGAACCCATGCACTTTCGATGCAAATCCGTAGTACGTAATAAAATAAGCCACACCCCAACGCCACGCTCAGCAAGGTAAAATGCATCAGCCGTAAAAGGGCAGGCAAAAATCACAACCACTTCTTCCCCGCAGCCACGACCCTCGCCCGAAACACCGGACTCCGGATCTCCATCCCCTGCCGATAAAACGGACTCATGGCCGTCTTGACGTAATTCTCATACACCTCGTTCATGAACTGCCGCACCGCCTCCTCCGTCTGCGGCGAGGTCGGATTCGCCGCGATCGAGCTACTCGACGCACGGGACGAGCTCCCCCCACCAACGGAGAAGGACGAGCCAAGCAGCGACGAGCCGGACCCCGCAGTCCCCGTCGAAGGCAGCTGAGGCGGCTGGTGGAGGAGCAGGAATCTTGTTCCGGAGGGTGTGAGGAACGCGGAGATATACGCTGAAGCGGGTGGGTAGGTGTCGATGTGTTTGAGGTACCTAAGCATGTCAATTCAGTTAAAATGTCAGTAAGATTGGAATGTGGTGGGCAGTACATATTGCCATTCATCCATTGAGCCTCCTCGACAATGTCCAGACTCGAGTGGATGATGAATTGGTTCATGTATTGCGCGGTGTCTGGGAAGCGGAATCGGGCGATGCCATCTCCGCCGCCTTTGGAGGTGCCGAAGGCGATGTTGAATATGGGTAGGTCGGTGGGGGAGAGGATGGTGAAATAGTATGACATTTTTTGAACAGGTAATCACTTCAGAAGAGGGAAATAGTCCTTCGCTCGGCAAGTGTAAGGTAGCAAGTAACAGGGGACATGGTTCGTTTGTTTGGTGGAGATGATCGAGTCACGTGGTTGATAAGATAACCATCTGATGAACTCATCTCCTTCAACTAGTTATTGTAACTGATCTTCAACTTCAAATATAGGCTGCTCATATCCACTGCACGAATTGGGGTCAGGCCTTACAGCCTCCGTTTACTAGCACCATGCCCCCTCCGAAGCTGTCCTACGGGCTCAACCTCCCCAGCAAAAAAGCCCCAACCTCGAAACTCGGACCGCCAGGTTCCCAGAAACGCAAGAAGACCATCTTCGACTCCGACTCTGAAGGCGACAACCAGAACGATGCCGGCGACGGCGACGGTGACGGTCCGATCGAGATAACCACAATTGGCGGTCTTGAAGAACCACGCAGACCGTCCGCCAACGAGCGACAAACTACAGAACCGCCCGCAAAACGAAAACCGTTGGCTGGGCCCCCAACCGGCAAACCCAACATCAAACCCCTAAGCAAGAGCTCCATCTTCGCCGACGAGGAAGAGACCCAAGAACCACAAGCAATGCCGCTGGGCCTCAACCCCGCGAAAAACAAACCCAGCGCCCCACCACCCACCACCGAGTTCACGAACCTCTCCGCCCTCCGCAGCAGCAAGAAACACGCCGAGGACGCCCAACAGCTCGACCCCACCATCTACTCCTACGACGCCATCTACGACAGCCTGCACGCCGCCAAATCCGACAAAGCCAAAGCCGCCTCCCCGGACGCCAAAAGCGACGGGCCGCGGTACATGACCTCGCTACTGCGCAGCGCAGAGATCCGCAAGCGGGACCAGCTGCGCGCGCGGGACAGGCTACTCGCCAAGGAGCGTGAGGCAGAGGGCGACGAGTTCGCCGACAAGGAGAAGTTCGTGACGTCCGCGTACAAGGCGCAGCAGGAGGAACTGCGGCGGATCGAGCAGGAAGAAGCAGAGCGGGAACGGCAGGAGGAGGAGCGGCGGAAGCAGAACGGCGGGACGGGGATGGTCGGGTTCTACCGGGACATGCTATCGCGGGACGAGCAGCGGCACGAGGAAGTCGTCAAGGCCGCGGAGGAGGCCGCGCGACGGGTGCAGGCGGGCGAGGTCCCAGCCGACGAAGCCGCCGCGGAAGCGGAAGCAAGCAAGGAAAAGACCGAGGCGCAGATCGCCGCGGAGCTCAACGCCAAGGGCGCGCACATCGCCATCAACGACGAGGGCCAAATCGTCGACAAGCGGCAGCTGCTGTCCGCCGGGCTGAACGTCGCGCCCAAGCCCCAGCCGTCCGCCTCGGCGAGCGCCGCTGCGGCAGCTGCTCGTGCGGCTGCCAACAAGCCGCGTCTCGACTCGGGGCATCACGCGGCGCGTACGAACCAGCGCGCCCGCCAGACGGAGATGATCGCGCAGCAGCTGGAGGAGAAGGCCCGACAGGAAGCCGAGGCCGAGGCCGCGCGACAGCGGGAGATCGCGGAGCGCACGCGTACTCGCAAGACGGAAACGGATGTGATGAGCGCGAAGGAGCGATATCTGGCGAGAAAGCGGGAGCGAGAAGAAGCGGCCAAGAAGGGGTCGTAGCCTTGCTTGTTTATTCCTTTGCATCCGCCTTGACCAGGTTCTTGGAGTTAGCAATGCATTTATGGCGTTGTGATATATTTTTTTTTATTTCATATGTAGTATACCTTGAACTCGGGAGCATTAACTTACTAAAAATCTACCGGAATATCATCCAAGAGCTTACGAAAATATCCGAACGGATATATATCTTTGCAGAGAGCACCACGCAAGAAATGCACATGATTAGAGTGATGTATGTAGGTATGCTCTATAATACACTAACCATTGATAAAACAAAACAATCGTAACTCGTAATGCAGATAGACAATCGTCAAGGAACACACGATAATAACAATACCCGCCCTAATTTCATATACCCAATTTATACGGATGCAACCTTGCCCGATGCAGCCATGCACAATGCACACAGACATTTACTTTGAAGAAAAGAGAGTGGACCTCAACGCCTGAATAAACCCGAAAGTACGGAATAGACTCACGCAGTCAGCGCAAAACTCAGCCCCATTAAACCCATTCCAGCGATGGCGAATCCGACACCGAACCCGCGATGGTGCGTCAATCCCAGCCCTTCACTGAAAAGCTGCAGGCCAACCGAGGTCATGATGCCGGCGGTGGCAGCAAACATGCCGCCATAGACACCCCAGGAGGGACCGGTAGTCTCGTCGTGGTGGCCGGCTTTCTGCGCGCCCCAGATCCAAAGAGCGGCGAGGGCGGCGCCAGCGGGCTGGCTGATTCCGCCAAGTAAGCTGGACCAGAACATGGCTTTCCAGCGGGAATTGAGCGCGAGATAGAGCGGCAGGGCCATGGCGAAGCCTTCGCTGATATTGTGGATGAAGAGGGCAACGAAGACGGTCATGCCGAGCGTGGGGCTGGCGTGATTGGTAGCGTATGTGATGAAGCCCTCTGGGAGCTTATGGAGGGCAATAGCCAACGAAGTCTGGAGGCCGATAGAGAGAAAGGCATTCTGGGGCACGTGGTGGTGGTGTTGCGCCGCTGCGGCCCGTGGAGCTTTGGTCGAATCGTTTTGGTCCTCTGGGGATTTGTGGGGATAGACTTCCAGACCTGTCCGCAAGGAGGATGCGCTGCTTTGGTTTTCCTGGGAGCTACTGGCGTCCAATTGCCCTGAGAAGTCTTCTATCGAATCATGCGACTGGGCAAGCAAGCCTGGGCCAGCACCTTCTTCAGATCCTGCGCGTTCCGAGTCCAGCTGCACACCAATGCTGTGATGCGTGATCAAGGAAGGCCGAGGCATCTCCTCGACGACGCTAGCCATCTGCGTATTAGTGAGGATCTTGGAACATTCAAGACCGCACGTCTGCGAGAAACCATAGCACGGGCCGTTTTCGTCACAGTGGGTTTTAACGCCACCCATGAGCTGATTGATGCGACGAGTCAACCGGGACCGCAGAGGTTCGAGCGCCGGTCGCTCAACGGCACCCGGCATGGACTTGCGAGAAGGCGACTTTGAATGTAACAGGAGAGGCGTCCGTTCGGTAGAGCCATTTGCCTGGCGCGGAGCGGACGCCAGCTGTTCTTGCCGTCCAACTTCGCCGCGTTCGGGATCTTGGGTTTTTGGTTGGTGAGTATGGGCGCAATCGACGACATGAGAGGGAATATGCTGGTGGATGAAGGCAGAAACAAGTCGAATGACAATCACGCCGGCCAGGAAGAGTCCGATTAGAGTGCAGGCCGCCGCGCGGGGCGAGAATCCAGCTCGAGTGAGGTATTCCTTCGAGGTGGGGAGCATGCTGTAGAGGGAGGTGAAGAGCTACGGGATTAGTACTACAGGCATAAACGGGGCAATGGAGTAAAGGTACCATAACACCAGCACTCAGGCATAGAGAGGCTGATAAGAAGCCATTGCTGTTGACAATTTGGAAGTCCTTGCGACGAGAGAAGCGCCGCAGTATAACATCGATGCAGATGAGGGACGAACCAAGGACGCAGGCTGTGATGATTTAGATTGGAAAGATTGCAGTTTGGTTCTGACGAACTCACCTATGCCAGAGACCCCGCTCATCAGCCATCCTCGGAGGTCACTATTGGCAGCCATGATCGGCTGTGGAGGAGCAAGAGCAGTAGCAGTAGCAGTAGCAGTGACCGCAATGAAAGCGCAGAGAAGGCGGATGCAAGACAGTGATGTCACGAGAATATCCGGAATGAGTGGCAATGACAATGGAAGGAACCACTATCTTTCTCTTTTTTCTGTCACCCTCAACTGTTCAGATATTCAGAAGTTGTTGTCAACAGGACAAATCAAATAAATCCATCTTGTCGATGACCATTCCCCTTGGAACAATACTTAGAGCATTCCTCGAGTCCAGGTGCCACTCACACATTATAAATACCGCCGCCGTCTTTCTCCCAAGGTCCGCACGGTCACCGCCATTAAGTATTAACAGGCAGAAGGGCGCTTGGAATCCCATCATGAAACTGATGGCATATTATGTCTCACGATGGAGTTGGTAAGAATTCATGCAGAAGTCTGTCAATAGGCTGGCTTATAGTCTCCCAAGTGTAGGGTTCATATCACATCTCCCCTACTAAATAAATAAATACTCGGAGATGTCAGCAGAACATCTAAGCAAATGACCATCTACTCTTTTGCAGTTCCATACTAATTCTCTACAATATATAGTCAAGGTAGCTGCCAGTCAATATCTCCCTCTTAGATACTTACTCCCTACCCATGCTGTACCTCCTGAGTTGTTGATCCAGCATCTCTGTGCTCTCTGATTGGCTGCTACTTTGGCTTCATCTTTGCTCTCTTCGGCAATATTTTTTTCTCTCTTAACTCCGCCCCAACTGTTTCCTTCTTTCTACCTTCTTGACTCGGTCCAACGAGTCTTTTATCTGTTTATATCTCGCTTTAATTCATATCCATCATGTCAAAGGCTACTATTGCGGCTATCGCTGCCGCCAGTGCAGCCACTGGTGCTGGTATCACCGCTCTCCTTTACTCCTCATCCTCTCGACCTCAACAGCAACAACACCAACAGCTCCCTCCTCCCCCTCCTCCGTCCCAACCGGCTACCATCTCTCCTCCTGCGACCATTCCTCCTCCGTCTCTGGCCAAGACTCCCGCCAGTAAACCCTCAGGCGGCTCCCCCGTCGATCCTGCCGGTATCTACCAGTATGGCTTCCCCGGTCCGATCGCCGATACCATCACCTCTCTACCCTTGACCGGCGCCTACGACCGTCGCACACGTAATCCTGCCTGGGTCGCCGAGCACATCACGCCGTACTCGCTCTCCCTGAAGAATGCCGACCGGAAACACAGCGCCTTCGTCGAAGACGCCAGCATTCCCGCCATCTTTCGCGCCAAACTGGCCGACTACTTCCGCTCCGGCTATGACCGCGGCCACCAGGTGCCCGCCGCCGACGCCAAATGGTCCCAGGACGCGATGGACGGCACCTTTGCGCTTACCAACATGTGTCCCCAGGTCGGTGAGGGCTTCAACCGCGACTACTGGGCGCATTTTGAGGAGTTTTGCCGCGATCTGACCAAGAAGTACCCCTCCGTCCGCATCGTCACGGGCCCCTTGTACCTGCCCCATCGCGACCCGGACGGCAAGTGGCGCGTCTCGTACGAAGTGATTGGCAACCCGCCCAACGTGGCTGTGCCGACACACTTTTACAAGGTCATCTACGCCGAGGACGGCACGGCCAGCCCGACCAGCAAGGTCTCGCTGGGTGCGTTTGTACTTCCCAATGCCCGCATTCCCAACGACAAGCGTCTGGCTGAGTTCGAGGTGCCGCTGGAGGTGTTGGAGCGGGCTAGCGGGTTGGAGTTTGCGTCTAAGCTGGATGTTAGCCGTCGCAAGCGTCTCTGCCAGGAGGTCCGGTGCGATATCGTTGTGCGCGAATTCAACAACGCCAACAAGAGAGCGGCCTAGACTCTACCGCACCATGTGTTCATGTATACATTTACTCCATGTTCTTTCGGGTGTACCTATTCGTTCTCGTTTGTCTGGCGTTGGGCGTCCTCTGGACATGGCCTGTCATCTCATAGATCATCTAGTCTAGTGACTGAAACTGGAATTACATTTTTCACAAGTACATACCCAAATCCCAAACTCCGTGGATGCGACAAACTTAACATTGAAAGGCAACCCCAGCCTTCATCGCTACATTCCCTCCCGCCCCTGCAAACCCGGTCCCCTCCGAGCTGACCTGCACTAACCCCGGCCGGATCCCCTGCTCCTTATCCTTCTTCTTCGACTTCTTCCCGTTCCCTTTTTCGGTTCCATTCTCCTCAGCTTCGGCCTTGGGATCCCGCGGCGTAATGTCCGCCTCACACACGTAGCAGAGAATCAGACCGTGTAGTTTCGCCGTCCGCTCTTGCTCCTCCTTGCTGGCATGGGGATCGGGGACATCGTGCGGCGTCATGAACTTGGTGACGCATGGTTGGCAGATAACATGACCGCAGGGTTTCGCCACTAATTCGTTAGCCGAACTGAGCGCGAGCACTTGTAGTAGGACAATACATACACATCGCCTTGAGCCCGTTACTCAGGTTCTTGTTGCAGCTGGGACAGATCCGCGAGACTGTGCCGTCCGCCGCCTTTTCCTCTGTAAAATGCACATCGACCAGCGACTTGAGCGAATAGGCATGGCGGTTCTCGTCAGTCGACCCGGGACAGATAGGCGTCATCTTGACGGCCTTGTTAGCGGCGATTTCGTTGGGATCGGTCGATGGCGTGAGCGAGGGGACCCAGAACGAAGGGAGCGCGGATTTGCTCGACTCCGACTGCACCAGTTAGCCAGATGTACACCAAAGAACCCACACTGCGCGAAGTACCTTCTCCCGCTTCAGCTCCCGCTTCAGCCGCTCCTGTTCTTCCCGCGCAATCCGAGCCATTTCCTTCTCATCCAGCTCAAAGATCTTCTTCCGCTTCCCGTCGACCTCGATCTCGCGCGCCTTGAACGCCGCCAATGCCTCCTCCGTCTCCTCCGCCTTGCGCTTCCGCTGATTATCCCCGTTGCCGCCGCCGCCGGTCCCCTTCGCGTGATCATTTTTCGCCGCCTCCAGCCCCATACTCACAAGCTCAAACTCGCGAAGTTCCCTCCGCCGCGCATCCTCGAGCGCCCGCTCTTCGTCCTCAGCCAGGCGCTTCCGGGCCTCTTCACGTTCTCGCTCGAGACGCTTAATCTCCTGCCGCTGCGCGAGGAGGTCGTTGATGGCGCATTCGCGACAGAAGAGGTCGCCGTTCGTTGCGCAGGCGACGGGCGTTCGGGCGGGCTGTAGGCAGAGTCGACAGGAGCCAAAAGGGAGGAAGGAGTCGCGGCTGATGACGCCGCGCTTGGTGCCCCAGGTTGAGCGGAGGAGGCCCCGCTCGTAGGAGGTGAAATGGGGGAGAGAGGTGTTTCGTTTGGAGTGCGCCATTTTGGGTCGTGGTGGTGTTTATCGGCGCATTTATCTCGGGGTATGATGTATAAGGAGGGGGAGTCGATGAGACAGAGTATGTATTTTTTTTAAAAAAATAGTTTAGCTATACACAGACAAGAAGAAACAGCATCTGGCTGGATTGAAAGACGAAACGCATCTGAAGGTTGAGAGGAAAGAAAAGTTGAGGACTCGAAGAAACGAAGCTCTGGAGATGAAGATAGATAAAGCGTGACATGACATAATCATTGATCCGTCGTCCACGTCTTTCTCGCCGTCACTCCACCTTCATCTCCATTCCAACTTTCCATCACTAATGTCCATCAAGAATTGCTCAATACTCCAACAGGTGAGAGAAAAGAAGTTACAAAAGCCTCAGTAGGAGCAAATTTCTCGATCTCCGCCAGAACAGGAGGCGTCTCGAGCACCACTCTCTTTCTGGCTGCCACCTCGTGCACAGCAGGCTCGTGCTCGTGAGGAGACACCTGAGTCCATGGTCCGCCAAGGGTCTCATGCTCCTGTTTGCTTTCTACTTCGTCTTCCCCGTCAGCTCGCTTCTTCGGTTTATTTTTTGCGCCTAGTAGGTGTCGCAGAGCTTCCCTGTCGTGCTCTCTGAATTCCCGCTGCTGCCGCTCTGGCTTCTCCTTGTCGTGAGCCTCGAATTCGGCCACCAATTCGCGGCAGACGTCCAGGAAATCCTTTTCTGGCTCGATACAGTCGGGATTCGATTTCGTAGTCTCCTTACTCTTTTGTTCCTCCCTCTTCTTCTTCCTGGCTGCCTTCTTTCTCTCTTCCTTTCTCTCTGCCTCCTTTGCCTTTCTATCCTCGATTATCTGTTTCCTCACCTCGGGATCATACCACCATGGTATGAACTCGACAGGGTCTGGCTCCTCGTCCTCGAATTTCTTCCGTCTCGCATCCTGCGCATCGTAGCGGATGAGGTATCTGCTCTCTCCAGGCTTTGCCAGGCTGTCAGGAATGCGACGGTAGCGGTGCAGTCGGATGTACTCGTCAGGCTTTGCTGTGAGCATGAACAAGACATCTGCAGAGTGCTTTTGGTCTGCAAACATGAAATAGCACTGTTTCACGGCGGATCGGCCGCGGGTGGTAGCTCCGAAGCCCGGCATGAGAGGAGGCATCTGACAATAGACCCTGATTCTGTCGTACAGATGACCGTTGGGACCATGGAGACTCAGAACCAAGCCGCGTGCCTTGATCAAAAAGAGCATAGCTCGGCCGAGATCGCAGTTGAATCCTGCAATCAGCGCGCAGTAGAGCCAAACCTGGACCTGGCGCGTGTCGCTGATCTTGAGCCGCTCGTATAGCTTAATCAGCTCGTAGGCGTTCTTGAACACCACCGCGGGCCGTTTATACAGGGTATCTGCGTCCTCAAAGATGGTCTCGAGAGTGTAGAGCTTCTCCAGAGCATTCTCCGTCTCGCGGACCGGGTCCCGGCAGAACAGACACACGCACCAGAACTTGCAGTACATACTGGACATCAACTGGCGTACTCCACACTCCCCCTTGGCGTAGAAGTAAGCAACGGTGATCTCCTCGCCGGGCCTGATGTCCCTGGACGCACGCACCACCGCCCGTCCAATTTTCGGGGGCAGGCTCTTATCCTCCTCCCCGTTCTCATCCCTCGGATACCGCAATGTATAGTAGAGAGACGCATTCGCGATGCACGAATGGTTCACAAACGCCAGGTTCAGCCCCAGCACCAATACCTTTACATTCTCCGGCTGCAAAGCAATCATATGGTATCTCTTCCAGATCTGAGCATACGCGCCCCCGGACGAACCCTTGGGCTGCGGATTCGGCAGACCCAGGAAACCCCGGTGCCACTCCTCGCCCATCGCGCGGACCTTCTCAGCAACGAGGTCGTCGGCCGTCTTTGCATTCTTCCAGCGCTGGACCTCCGGGCCAGCAAGCCAGGCGACTTTATCCGCGAAGACGACCTCCCCGGCAGGGATGCGCCCGGTAGCAAACAGACCATAGCCGATCGACTCATCGATGTATTTGCTCTGAGTCTTTTTCTCGTACGTACGCCTGTAGAGCATCTCATCTGGATCTCCGGAAACAGGGACCAGAACGGGCCGCCGACTGGACCGCGGTGGCGGCGACGGAGGAGGAGCAGGCAACGCAAGCAGCGGACGGTGGTGCACCTCTACCTGCCCCTGTCCTTGTACCTGTACCTCTCCCTCTCCCTCTTCACCATTTAAAAACAATCAGTATTCATCTTATGAATTATGAGTAGAGTGCCCACCAGCACGAGCACGATCTAAACCCATCACGCTGCAGGACACCTCCTCACGTGACTGTGAAAGACCTAAAGCCATCCTTCCAGTTAACAGCAAGTAGCCAACAGTAAACAGTCAGCCATGAACTTCTTTTCAGGAACTATTACAGGATGAATGGAAGAAAATCCTTACTGTGTTGTGTTTCCGTTGTTTACACTTCACCAACTAAGATCAATCAAGCAAGCAAAACGGAAGATAGATAAAGAATACTCTGATCTATACACGGATAGATCATCAGCACAAGTCAGACTATCAGTCTTTCAGCTTGCCACTTACTGTCTGTTTGGCTTTCTCTCTTGTTGCGTTCTGTTTCTAATTTCTCCTCTTTACTTGGAATCAGTCTAGGACAGAGGATGACTGCCGTAGCCTAGCCTGACTACCAACTAACTCAAATGCAAAGATGAGATGAGATGAAAGAGTCCAGAGTGAAGATGAAGATGGAAAGACTGAGGGTAGAAGATAGATGGATGAAGAGGAAGAAACCGAGACGAACACAACAACAGAAATCACAACGAGGGGTCAACGACGACGACAACGCCGAGAAGCACGGTTGGTGTGAAGGCGTGCTGTCCTCATGCTGCAAGCGGGCCCGTCTCATACAGTTCACCAGTGACGGATGCATGGAGATATGTGAATGACATGAACAATAGAATAGACCAGATAAAGGATCCCCTATATCCTATTCTTTTGTCTATATAGTTCTAGGGAATCATGAGATAGGCTTGATCATTGCCTTCCGAGAGTAGCAATGGAACTGTATACTGCAATCTCCTTCGAGATGACATGCTATGAATTTTCAGATACCTGCCAAAATGCCGCCTTCCCATGTAAATCCGTAGATCAACAGCCATACAAACAGACCAGACCAACCGACCCTGTTGCCCTACTGGGCTACAACCGAAGCATATGAAAAAGGAAATAGTAGTGCGAGGACCGCTTGTGTGAACTCTATGAAGCCGGCTCAAAGCAATAGAAGAGGAGAGAGAAGGAGAAAGAGAGAGCAAGAGAGAATGTCAAAAGCTTGGCCAGGCAGCGCTGAGAACAAGTCAAGCATATTTTGGCCAAAATGATTCCTTCAACGCCGTAAGACGACGCCAAGACAAATGAAAAGAAAAACTGAGATGGATTGGGTATGAAGTCGTAATGGAAGGTGATTGGTCTTCAGGTTGCTCTTTATGCATGTACAGCTTGCTCGGGTGGGCTCGACTGCAGTTTTTGGATTGTATTTTCGTCGACGGCTGCCTCGTCAGCGGATGTCGAAGGGGACGACCGCTGATCTTTTGGCAATACCAATGATCCCGGGAAAGCCGCGGTGGAGGAATCAGCGTCATCTGAGGCCGTAAGACGAGAGCTTAGATCAATGGTGGGGTCGCTCTTGACCATTCTGTCCTCTAGGTTCGTGGTAGGATTCCCCTCTCTGCAACCCTCGCTCTCGACCGGATCAAGAACGCTGATCCTTGTTGCAGTGCTTCCGCTTCGCAATGACTGGGAGATTCCCGGATTTATCGGTTCCGAGACGTTCGAATCGCCGCCGCTCAGAATCGCAGGGTCAGAGGCGCGGGGCTCCTCCGACGGAGTAGGTTTGCGCAGCCTGAGACGCTCTTCGGGAGTCATATTCTGCCACTCAGATCCAAAAGTGACAATAGATGCCTTCTTCCCATGGACAGTGAACTGCGGCGCCTTGCGGGAGAGACCCTCGCCTTCCTTCGTATCTTGCTCGTCCTCGGGCACCACTTCGCTAGACATCGAGTCCCGCTGCTTTTTACCCCGAGCATTATGTCCTTGTTGTCCGTGGTGGGAATCACGGAGTGTGCGGTGAAGGCTGCGACGAATCCGGCTCATCTGCTCTCCTGGGCGAGACTCCGCGCTATCTCGCCTGTGTTCGCCATCCGTCTCATGGGCTGTGACGGACTGTCTTGTCCCGCGAGGAGAGCTGTTCACCTCTAACAACCCAGCCTCACGGAGGATACGCTCCTCGCCGTCGTCCATGCTGATCGGAGAGGTCAATTTGGAGGCATGAGATCCTAGACTGGCAACATCTATCTTGCTGCCCGCGCTCAGCACCGATGGCTCGCGTTCGAGCCGGTTTGCCGGGCCTGGCGAATATGACTTGGCGCGGTCTTTGCCCATGTCCGCAGATAAACGTCTACTGGCACGGCCAGTAAGGTCTGAGGATGTCACCGACACCGGAATGCTTGGTCTGCGAATGTCACTAGCAGCAATTTGGGACGATGGGACCCTATGAACAGACGCATACTCGTCAGACGGCAACTGCGGCGACGTGGCCTGACTCGGGGACTGCACTGCGTTGGCAGGCGGCTGGGACAGGGCTCCTGGCTCCGAAGTGGAGGCATTCCTGGCGGGTATCTGTAGATGTAGGGACTTCTGGTCCGCAAGCAACTTGGCCTCTTCATCCTCGGTACCCAGATCCTGCAGGAGAACCTCCCGATAGCATTTGTTACGCCAGATGTCCTGCCGCACCCACTTGAGCTTGGCCGCCATGCGCCCTGCTGCCATGATGACTTGCTCCCTCGCCCTCGAGGTAACCGGCGTTAATACCTGTAGGTGTCTCGCATTCCTCAGGAGGTCGTCAAGTTGCCTTTGGCTCACGAAAAGCTTCTCGTTTGTCTCGCGGATCTTCTGTCGCATGAGCTCTTTACGAGCTGTGACCAACTCCTCGGCCACGTCGGTATCGGGATTGGGAGAGGGAGGCTCCCTGTCTGCAGAGCGATGTGAATTGTACGACGTCACGGAGGGTTTGCGACTCATTCTGTTGCGCTGAGCGTCGTAATTGGTAGCTATCATGCCTTTGGTGCGGACCCCCGTGCTTCGGAAGGCAGCAGCGTAATTGATTTTTGCCAGCCAATCGTTCATGTCATCTTCGGAATTGGCCAAAAACACCTCCTCTAGCGCGTGATGGCGAACGAAAAGGAATGCGTGCTTATGCTTTTTGTAGCCCGAATCCAACAACGCAACCGCATCATCCGTGGACATGATACCGTCGGGTTTGAACTCGGTGAGAGGTGGTTTAAATACAACCGCCCGGCGGCGCCCCTCCTTCTGATGAGACTCATATTGGGACGTTAAGGATTTGATCCAATTGACGTCTCGAAAAAAGTACAACTGCGAGAAGGTAAGCAGAGCGCCCCATTCTTGCCACGGCGATCTAGCTCTCTTCTTCCTTGGGTCTTTTCGCCAGAGCAGACCAACTTTGGCCACTTTGATGTCTACCAGCCCAGGGTTCGATTCGGCCGGGTTCTGGATGCTAGCCGGCATGAACGCATCCGGCCGGGACCGGGCTGATACGATCTGCAGAATAGCTGTTTTCGAAAAGGCCTGATGCAGGCTGTTGATGTCCGGTGGCCCTGTCGTCCCATGACATCGATACGTGTCTTCCAAGTTCATGACGTCCTTGAGACTCGGCCGTAATGAGTCAAGCTTGCCGTCCATGATCAACGTGTAGGGGTCAACCGGTTCCCTTGATACGCGCGACAAATGCTCTGAACTCGGGGTCTTGAACAACGGCCGTCGAGGCTTTGCAAGCTGACGACTGTGAGAGGGTGTATCTTCGATGTGGATAAAGGGCGTGTAAGCGATGTTCTCGTAAATGCATTCCAGAACGTCATCAGATACGCCTTCGCCACGAGTATTCCGAACATAATCCGACTTTTGCATCTTGCGCTTATTGTTCTTGTTAAAGACATCGGTGTGTAGAATCAAGATGGAAAATGCAATGAAATATGCTTGGTCTGTACAGAGAATATCAGTATAAACGGCCCAGGATGCATAATGGGATGAACGTACCAGGAGAAGCAAAGATGCCAGGATTACATTCATGATATCGGTCGGCAAAGCTTTGCAAAAAGCGATCAATCTGTTGGGTCTCCTTGGGCAACTCAGCGCCCATCAAAAGCTTTCGGATAGCCATATCGATAGGGTCCCCAAAGAAAATGAATCTCCGCATATACTTTCGCAATGCTGTCTTGTAGAAGTCTTCATTCGACTGACAGAGTACACCGGCGATTGTGCTCTTGGGTATGCTCTCCTCCAGGCGCGTCAGATACGTTGCTGGCGTGTCATTCTCCTCGCGTTCGGGGTAGGACAGTTTGCGAACAGGAGTATCCGAGCGTCTCACACCGGGAGAGCCATCTCGCATAACCGGGGGTTCCGAATTTTGCCTCAATCGGTGCGAGATGCTGAAGATGTCCCCGAAACTTTTGCGTCCACTGGTGGAAGTCGAAGTACGACCGGACGAGGCGAATTGAGCGGGTGACTGTTGCCCAGCATCGCGGAGATTAGCCAACGAGTCTAGCGTTGATGACCTTGGTCGCGGTTTGATTCGATGTCCACTTCGAGTGGAAGTGGCTGACCGGGCAGAATTGGCGGAGTTCGCCGAGTCCTTTCTGCGCAGAGGAAAAGCCGGGGAGGCAAGACCGACAGTCGAACGACTGGGCGATGGAAGCGGAGAAACGCGGTCCTGATCCTTCTCATCCGGCGGCTCGAAGCTGGATGAGGGATCAGAACTCATGGCCCTGGATATCTGCGAGTCCTGTCCATGGCCATTCATGGGTTGACTGCCAGCCGGTCGAGGAGGCAAGGGAAATAGAGGACCCCGATTTCTCTTCATACGTGGCATGCGAAAACGTTTATTTCCGCTTAAAGATCCGTCGTTCGGGGAATGGGGGTGGTATAGTCCATGGTCTCCGGAACTCTGATCCGAACGGGATGACTCGGAAAAGCGAGCGTCGGTGACGGAGGAACGTTGGGACTCGTTGCCCAGCTCACGGCCACCACTGCGGATTGACGTAGTCGAGAGACGACCTGGCTCTTCCCCGCTCATCTTGGACGTTGACAATGTAGCATCGGTTGTCTGCGACACGTTGGAGCCCTGGGCCCCATGGCGAGACCTGGGACCTGGACTCTGTCGCTGAGCATACATTTGTGATCCGTCGGACGAGCTCTTTTTCGATCCGGAGAGGAGTTTGAACTTGGGTTTTTTCTTAACGGGTTGATCCAGTTCATTGCTAGTGGGTGCGGTGGTAATGATGGTGGGAGCTGAAAATAGACAGCGGAGATCAAAAGTTAGCACACGTAGATCGACAAATATATAGAATCTGTAGTAGCTCGGATGTATACTCACGCGGTAAAGGAGGCACGGGAGGTGTTCCCTCCTCACCCTTGGCATAAGACCTTGATAATTGGGGATCCGACGCATGACGGAGCTTCATGAAGCTGAACCGGTTCCGGCGCCAGGTAGAAGCATCGTCCTGCACCAAGGCTGCGCCCACATTGCCCTTTCTTGAGCGAATAGTGTCCGCTGGCCCTTCCGACAGGTGTTTATTATCGTTGTCTCCGGTCTCGTGATCGTCGTGGTCATTTTCGTCATCGTGGTCTGGTCCCGCTAAGAGAGGGGAACGGGGGGCGGACTCCGAGTGCCTGGATGCAAGGTTGGTTGCCGATGGAGTCGATCGAGGCAATTGTTCGCTATGGCGAGAGAGTGCTTGAGGCTCGACAACACTGCGTCTCTTGGAGTCATTGCTATCGAGAGCGCCGAGTCGCAACCCTTTCCAATGCATGGCTGAAACAAGACGACGGAAGTCGGGTCCTTAGGTGATCCTGCTGCGCAACCGGTTGAAGCGACCCATCCGACAATAACCTTATAGATATCGAGCGATTTATCCACAGCGACTGATTGTACTTCGGAAAGGAAGTTCAAGGGGCAACCCGAACTCTTGGAAGCCGTTCGGTAATGCACGATTTCGGAGGATATACGGCGTAGGGATCATGAAATACGACCGATTGACATCGCGGACAATTCGTAGCAGAGCGAGGAAAGAAAAAAGAAATAGATTCGTCTAGCTTGAGAATCGAGCAATTTGGCGGTAATCGAGGAGGGAGGTCGCAGAAGGTTCGAAAAGGGGAAAGGGGGGAACAGAGAGGCAGTCGATTGAGAAAGAGAACCCCGGATAGTCGACAAGCAGATAAAAAGTCGGAGATAGTAAATGCAACCCTTACATTGCCAGGCGTCTAGTAGGATGGAGTGAAAAGTGCGTAGATCATAAGCAGAGGAGCGGCCGAGGAGAACATTGGAGATGCCAAGGAAGGGAAAACAGATTGGCGAAAAAGGGAACCCCAAAGCGGAGAGGTTGGTTGGAACGTAGGAGAAAGGAGGGGCAAGGAGCTGGATAATACCTGCTAGATAATGGGAGCCTTGCGGGAAGAAATGACAAACGAAGAGATCTGAGCGTCTTTACCGGATAAAGAGGGAATCAATGAAGAAGAAGAAGAAGATGATGATGAAGATGGTGATGGGGAGATCTGAGATACCTCCTAGTGTCCCTATGGCCTATGGACTAGGACTACGGCCTATGGGTCTGGGTCTGGCCTACGGAATACTTGACAAGTAGTTAAATGATGGATCTCTGACAAAAGACATCACACAACACGTGTGTTTAGAAAGTGGATATTAATTCGTCGATCTTTGATCATGATCAGGTCAATTTAATTGCTATAGATTAAGAGAGCTATCTTGTGCCATGGGTCCGATAAATTGTGATTTTATTCCTACCCGTCTCTAACTGGAGATACCTTAGATCGGTGCCTGTATAGTCCCTGTACCTAGCGGAAGAAGCCATTCTCGATAACAAAACACATAACCTCAGGTTCTTATACTTCTGATTTCCACACGTTCCAATCTCTAAAATCCGGTTCTCTGCCCTGGTTCGAGAGTCATAACCAATAGAAGCAGCCTGGTGTGTACACAGCTCTGTGGACTGTTTCGTCATCTGGACTTACGCTCATTTGATTATCATCTTCCAGAATTTCCATTCGAGCTAACAATGATGCCAGTACCTCTTTCATCCGAGAAAACGGAAGAAAGAGGCGTCTTACCGACTTCATCATCATGACCACCTATACGCGGCTACTTTACGCACTGCGTCATTTATCCGCGTATCTCCCGCTGCTCTATTATCACGTGATTCAATCTAGAATTGTTCTGCCTGGAGGGACCACGGAATAGTCACGGAGTAAACCAGCGCCAGACTTGGGACTACTCAGCCGGTTTATACAGATAGTTATCTCTTAATCTAGACGCTTACCCATCAGGAGTACTAGGACATGCTTTGGGTGGACGTGACCAACGGCATTGAGCCAATCCCATATATATTACGGCAAGGAATACCGCAAAGCCGCTCTCTGCTCAAGGGACTCAAAGGGACTAAACTAGTGGGGCTGTGGAGGCAGTGAGTGTGGGGTAGGTCTATGGTGCCTAAGGCAGAAGCCACTGTCAACTGTCAGCTTTATCTGCATCTTAGAAATCAGATTTCATTCCACTGAGCCGCAAAGGACTGAAAAGGATTGTCTCTACAAGTACGGAGTACGCCAACGATTATAGGAGGACTTCAAGTATATGTGCCCCGTTGTAGGTAATCAATTGCTTCCGCCGTCACACCAGCCTTTCAGAGCTAGCCTCTTCAGAACAGCCACCAGATTCTAGTAGATAGATAATTGCAGTTTAGCCACATCTATCTACCATACTCAAGAGTATTCAGACGATCATTCGGATTTTCTAAGGCTGACTCGGAACTACCTCCGTGGTCCTGATATTGCCCAAACTAGGCAAATACACCATTCCTAATCAGGGAAAATGCTAATATCGGAAGGTCTTCTGCCTGAGGCATCAATAGGCGTCCACCATTCGCCCAACATCGGCCCTCGTCCATCCTGATCCGTCCTCGTTTCACCTCTAGGACTCGAGCGATCCGACAGAAAGAATGACAGCATAATTGTTGTCTCTTTCCTTCTAAAGACATGCGTCTCCTGCTATCTGTTCTCCTCCTCCTGGTCGCCTCGCTGGGTCTGGTATCCGCCGTCCCCGCAGGCTCCAGTATCACACCTCCGCCGCCCATTGAACCGATTCAGTTGTTATCATCCCGATCTACTGACTCCAGACGACCATGGATTCGATTGCGAGATCGGGTCATCGAGTCCATCTGGGGCATTTCCAAAGATTCCTCCCATCATCGTTCCGTTAAAGATTCCCCGCGCAGCAGGTCTCCATCCCGATCACTTACTCGCTATGGCAGCGATGTCGTCCTTCGTTTCCACCTGCGCAACGCCGAAGAGGCAGAGGCATTGGCGGAAGCAACTGACGTCCTTTTTCTGGATGTCTGGGCTTCCACATCTGAATTTGTGGATATTCGATTAGCTCAAGAAGTTGTACGTATATGCGCACTCCTGCCAGCGTCTTATCCCTGCGCTCATTATTGATTCTTTGATTGATAGATCCCCTCACTACTGGGCCTGTTGCCTGATTCGCTTCGGACCGCATACACTCCTCTTATTGATAATCTTGCTGAAATGATATACGCGACTTACCCGACTCGACGACCTGTTGGATTTGAGGATCATCCTGGATTCATCCCGTCGGTGCGCCAGTCGACTCAATTTGGAGATTTGTTCTTCCGCGACTACCAGCCTCTATCGGTTATCGTCCCGTGGATGCGGCTGATGGCTTCAATGTTCTCGTCTCATGTCCAGATGATCAATGTCGGGGTGTCCTACGAAGGACGGGAAATTCCGGCGCTTCGACTCGGGACCCGCGGCCAGACGGCCGAGCCTTACCCTCGCAAGACCATCGTCGTCGTCGGTGGCAGCCATGCGCGAGAATGGATCAGTACCTCAACCGTAATCTACACCGCGTACAGTCTCATCACCCGCTACGGAAAATCGCACGAAGTCACCCGCCTCCTGGAGGACTTCGACTGGGTCTTTGTGCCGACGCTGAACCCAGACGGCTACGTCTACACCTGGGAATCCGATCGCCTATGGCGCAAGAACCGCCAGCCCACGAGTCTCCATTTCTGTCCCGGCATCGACCTCGACCGCGCCTGGGAATTCCAATGGGACGGCGAGCGCACACGGTCGAACCCCTGCTCGGAGAACTACGCCGGCACCGAGCCATTCGAAGGCATGGAAGCGCACCAACTGGCACAGTGGGCCCTCAACGAGACACAAACCAACAACGCCAAAATCGTCGGCTTCCTCGACCTCCACTCCTACTCCCAGCAGATCCTCTACCCCTTCTCATTCTCCTGCTCGTCCGTCCCGCCCACGCTGGAAAGCCTCGAAGAGCTAGGCATGGGCCTCGCAAAAGTCATCCGCCTGACCACCCACGAAATCTACGACGTCACCTCCGCCTGCGAAGGCACCATCACCGCCGACGACCAAGCCCGTAATCGTAACAGCCCACCCAAGAAACCCATCTTCCCCACCGGCGGCAGCTCAGGCGGCAGCGCCCTCGACTGGTTCTACCACCAGCTACACACAGACTACGCTTACCAGATCAAACTGCGCGATCGCGGGAGCTACGGCTTCCTCCTGCCGTCCGAGTACATCGTGCCGACCGGCAAGGAGATCTTCAATGTCGTTCTGACGTTTGGGAAGTTCCTCGTTGGCGATCTTGCACATAACATAAATCTGGACTGGGACGCGGAGCTGCAGCGCACGGAGCCTGAAGAAGCTCCTGCATCCCAAGGCGACGAGCCAGCGCCAGCCACGCAGCAAGTCCTGCAGGCGGATGTCGAAGATGAGGAAACGGAGTGGGTTGAGAAAGCTCGATCCGAGTTCCGACGGCGATAGTCTTTTCCCTTCTGTCTGTTTCTGCCGTGTACAATCCTACCGTACGTATATTTACATCTCGCATTGTCGTTATCTGCCAACGACGGTAATGAATCATGATTATTGTACTTGTCATACGACACTACTCCGGGTACACTTCAATTGACAGATCCATGTAATTCATTGATGGTTTATGTTATGTACATGTCGGCGAGTCGTGATTTCATAATAGCATTGCGAGGCAGGACCCCTAGCTCGTATCACATCCAAAAAACGCATATTCGCGCAAAAAAAAAAAAAAAGTAAATAACCGAGACAGCGGGGCCTAGAACAACCACGCCACAAATGTCTGATAGAACCAGTTCCCACGCTTACCGGTTGGCTCTTCCATCGCCTTGCGAGCCAGGTACTCCGCCTCCTCGCGGTCGATCTCGTCCTTGCCTGACCACAGATCCGCCTCCTCGGGCTTGACGCCCTTGCAGCGAGTGAAGAGCTTGTACCCGAAGATGAGGCAGAAGTAGAGGGGGATACCAAGGTACGCGGTGATGAAGCCCTTGTAGTTGAAGTTGCCATAGGTGTCGCTATGGACGAAGACGTCGTAGCTCTTAGTGAGGGCAATGATGCAGCAGAAGACGAGGGCGAAGTAGGAGCCTGCGGCGCCGAAGGGGGCTGTGTATACGAGGTCAGAGTCAGGGACGTGCTGGGCTTTGCGGGCGCGAATGAAGTAGATGTGGGTGACGAGCAGGGAGATCCAGGTGAGGAGGCCAAAAATGGTGACCAGATCCACAAAGTATTTGAAGACGGTCTTGGAGTCACTGGAGACGTTCATGTAGGCCAGGCAGGCGAAGCAGGAGGAGATGGCGAGGGCATAGATGGGGACGCCGCGGCGGTCGGTGCGGGCGAAGATGGCGGGCGCTTTGCCCTCGCGCGCGAGACCATAAATGGTACGAGTGGCGATGTAAAGGTCCGAGTTAGCGGCGGAGAAGACGAAGAGGAGGATGCAGGCGTTGAGGATGTGGGGAAGGATGCGAATGCCGGCCAACTCGATCGCGACGACGAAGGGGGAGGCAGCTGCGGAGCTGGCTTTCTTGGTCGCGAAGACCAGGCTCTTGGAGTCGTAGGGGACCAGGGTGCCGACGAGCAGAACGCTGATCACGTAAAAGAAGAGGATACGGTAGAAGGTGAGCTTGATGGCGCGCGGGATCGTCTTGCGTGGGTTCTCGGCCTCGCCGACGGTCACTCCGACCAGTTCGGTACCCAGATAAGCGAACGTGGCCGAGACCATGGTCGCCCAGAAGGCATAGAAACGACCCGCGGCCGAATCCTCAATGTACCAGTTGAACGCACCGGGCTCCTTCCAGTACCGGAAGCCCCTGCGGTCGTGATCGGGGCCGCCGCCCAGCATCAGAATGAAGGAGAGCAAAATCAGGCCGACAATGACGACCACTTTGAAGGAGGACAGCCAGAACTCAAATTCACCGAAGAACCGGATACCAAAGTAGTTGATGGAAATAATCAACACCAGGAAAACGGTGATCCACACGCCTGCATTGACTCGTGAAGCATCGATCCAGAATGATATGACCAGCGCGCCGGCCGTTAACTGGTTCGGTGTGACAATAATATATTTGAACCAATACCTGTAGTGGTCATGGTGTCAGCGCCGCAGTCTTGACGGTAAACAATGATAGATTGACATACGTCCAACCAATGGCGAATCCAAGAGCAGGGTCACAGAAACGGACAGCATAACCAGTGAAACCGGAGGGCATGGGCAACCAAGTGGCCATTTCTCCAAGACCACACATGACCAGATAGACGATGAAACCGACGAAAGAGTAGGAGATGAGGATAGAACCAGGCTGTGACAGTTAGTTAGCTGTTGTTGCTGTAAAATTTCAGGTATATGAGGACAACGTACGCCAGCCCTGAAGAACCATGTCAGCCTATGTCACGCCAAAAATGGTTTCGAGGAAGAAAGACTTACTTTGCAAGAGCACCTCCAGTTCCGATGATGAGACCAGTGCCAATAGCACCACCAATGGCTGTGAATGTCAGCTTGAGTGCAGATTATTTACAGGTCGCAATAGACGGCCTACCAATCATGGTGATGTGACGGGACTTGAGACCCCGATGAAGGTCGACATGGGGTTGAGACTCCGTCACACCCTCCTCAGCAGCTTTGACATCGTTGGACATTTCATACTTGACAGGCATCTCCGAAGAGACGCCTTCTTCTTTGTACCCCATTCCCGTGCGTGGTCTATTGATGGAATTCAGGCCGATGAACTGTGGTGGGGGGAAGTTCCCTGATTCCCCAGAGACGAAGGATTGTGGGGAAGAAAGAACGCAGTGAATGCGATTACGATGGAGGAAACGATGAAGAAGGAGAAGGAGAAGATAAAGATGCAGACGGAAGAGGAGAGAGGAGAAAGAGAAGAGGACGAGGAGGAGGAAGGAAAGAGGAAAGTAGCAGGTGAATAGAAGCTACCGTCCTCGACTTCTGGAAAGCAACCCCAGAAAAGATAAGCGACAACGGGGGGACCAATCAATGATTATATATCTTATTATATGACAGGATGAGAATGACCGATGATAGGTCAATATCTCTTCGATTAGATTAGTGAATTAGTGAAGTAGTTGGTAGTTACCGAGAGAGACATCTCGCGTGGAGAATCCCCTCACGGACGATGATAGCCATGCTGCCTGTGTACACAGTACAACCTTCCAGCCTAGCGTTTCCAGCATAATTGCCACACAATCCAATCAGCAGCGAGAAAAAAAAGGCCGGGATGGACGATCTTGTCGTTTTCTGTCTGTTCTCTGGTCTTGTCTGCGCCTCCTGGGGCAAGAAAGAGACCCGTCAGCAAGCCCAGGAACAAGCGGACTGGCTTGGCAAAAGCGCCCAGACACGAGGCGCCCTTAGACCCAAGCTCCTAATTACCTGGGGAAGACGCTGTTGCAGGTTTCCAGTGATTAGGCTCAACACTATTTGGTTCGTATTAGTCAAGGGATCTTTCGAATCGGTAACAATCGCCGTCTGCTGATTCCGTTGAGGCGTTCTGAGGTTACATTCCTAGGCTGAACACGACACCCTGCACACGGACATACGGGATTATTATAAGAGTCTCACTCGGCCACAATTTCCCCAAGAAAAGAGAGAGTCAGTGTCATATGATAACTGTCAAATAATCAGTAATAAAACCACCTTTGTGCTCACTGTGTCCAACGCCGAAGCAAAGCGAACATGGAACAAGCCCCGCTCTGCCTGAGGCCCACTCTTGGCGGCCTTGGCTTTTTTGCCTTGATAAGCCAGTGATAAGCCACGTGAGTTCTGAGCTGCGAGACATTGTGCCCAAGCTTTGCGGGATTTTAGAGAACTCGGGGCCAAGTGAGAGATTATCAAGAGGGTAAAGAACCTTAACTTGAAGGTTCCAGCAGTAGTTCCGTGCGGAGAAGTGATCCTGTCCGAGGTTATTATGCATCTATTCCGATATCTTCCATTAGGAGTCTACGCGTCTGGATTGCCTGGATACCTTAGGTAGAAGCCAGTCAACCAGTGCCAAGACTGCTTATCGAAGTGCTATCTGTGTGCCATATTGTCCAATCAGACACTGTCATTTACTCAACCTTATCGCAAGCTGTTAGCTGTACGGAGTACTCCGTACTCCATACCGTACGTGAGCTCCTGCTCCGGTTTGGACACATGGATGCCGTCTGGTCCGTATTCTAGAAGACTACCGATTTCCTCCAGAGAACTTTCGGTCCCTTGCCAGCCACGGGCTCGGCACCCTTGGCATATAGCGGAATAATCTCTACGGGCACAAATGATATCTGCTCAGAAACTCTCCTGCTCCTGCCTCGCACCCCTGAACCTTTGCATCCAAGCACCTATCGGAGTATTCACGGTGAAATCAGCATGCGATCCTCAACATCCAACTTCAAATTCGATATCTCGCCTAGACTGCGCACAGTGCACCCTGCACAGGAACAGTGGATACAGCCCAGCAATTCCGTACGTAATGCAATGTCACTCACTGCCGACTTTTAGGTAATAAAAATTCCCCAGACTCTTGAAGCGGGGAATCTTATCTTGACTGTTGGATATCGAAATGATTAATACTACTGCCAAAACTCCAGGGACGGGATGTCCGTTCGAAAAAATTTTCTCATCATCCGGGCCCTCCGTGGTGGTTTCCGTGGTAGAACTCGGTGGCTGCACGGTAACTACAGTTGACCAGAACTCCGGCCAGACCTCCAGGGAGCCGCGTGTGGCTGGCAGCAGGAGAAAATTCTGCTATCCAAACGGTCTCGTCTCGGCTGAGCTTCGGTGTAGATAGGAATTGCAGAACATTGACTGATCCTGTTGGATTGAGTACACACTACACGCGGGCTGGATAAGCTGATGGTGGGTCAAGGATGCTGTTGGTCTTATCATTTCTGAACAATAATCAGGATCAAGGCGATTTCTATTTAGTTCGTTGTCTCATATACACGCATTACTGAAGGTAGATTTCTTTGGGCAACCAGTTGTAGAAGAGGTTCACCATGGTTTGAAGTTGTCTGATTATGTATGCTCCGAGGAGTATCCGTTTTGCTATAAGGCAAAGATATCGTTGTACTCGACATACAAGACTCTGAGAGAATTTCGTGTTGGTAGATAAGAATGCCTTACAAGTTGCTCAGCACCAACATAGCGATAGCAAATGGCCCCGCGAGTTGCCAGTTGACACATGAAAGAACGAGAACTTGCCAGTTGCCATCTCAGCCTACAGGACAATCATAACCAGGCTTCATCTCATCAACTGCATCCCAATCCCATCCCACCAACATCCAATCCAACAATGAAGCACCTGCACAGATCCAATAGTCCCTTTGAAGGCGGTAAACCACAAGCAAGGAAGCACTCATTGTTGACACACAGTGCCACATGGACAAGCCCTCACCAACAATGGCGTACGCCATCGGCCATCCTCCTCTCAGAGCAACACCTCTACCGCTCAGAATCAATAGTTTCCTGCAGCTGCTTGTCAGCCTTGCAACCCCGCAGATAACTCTGTGTTGGTAACAGTGATATCACCAATGGAGGTACAGCCTGAGTGTTGCTTGAGCCTTAGGCTGACTGCTCTGGATGACTGGCAAGGAGGAAATGCAGTTAATTTCCACAACACGGGCAGGAAGATTCCTTTCGAGCTCGCGTCACCATCCATTATGCGATGGACTGTGCCGTCACCTGCATAAGGCTGCTGTGATGCTCTTCCATTGGCGGAGGGAAACGGTCGGCGCTTAAGGATATTTATATCCAGAGCGTTATTGGGTTCCCTTCTGTCGGGATACGAAATGGACGAGGGGGATTGATAATTTTGCTATCAATAGAAATACCAAAATAGATCACTTGCGGGATGAATGCAGTGTTAATTTGGGGTGTTGTCATTTGTGCTGATTGTGATGGTGTCATTCCCCTCTTTTGCTCACGAGGCATTTATTATCTATCCTCGTCCTGGGCCACTGTCCCTACTTCTGACGGTGAAGAAGACTTCCTTCTCAGCCTGCTCTAGAACGAGAAACCTTGAACTGAACTGCTATCATGGGTGTTCTTCGTTTGCCTCGCCCGACGGGCATCTATGTCCCCAATTCTCCCACCCGCAGCCTCACTACCGATATGATTTCCTCGCCTCTGTCTCCCGGCTTCAACTTCGATTGCGAAACGGTCACGCCTTCCATCATTCCTGCTCTGGACTACATCTCCTCCAAGCTCCAACAGAAAATGATGCACGTCACCCTGCTCGTCGGCCGGGGAAAGCCCTACCCCACAGGACAACCGTCCGATCTCATGGTCATCCCCATCGCACAACTCGACCCTCAGTGCTGGCGCACGGTATGCCGCATCGTCGCCAAGGGAGCCAAGAAATTCTCCCTAGGCCAGAGCTGGACCGATGCCCTGGCACGCAGCCAGTATGAGCGCCAGGCCAACGAATACTTGATCCAGCAATCCATCCTGCAGAACGAAGTCGTCTTTAGCCGTGAGGGCCTGACTCTCCTCAACGTCGACCGCATCTACACCTTCAAGCGCCGCCTCTGCATCCTGTCAAACCGGGACGACGGCACCGAAGAGCCCTACGTCTCCTCCTGCGTGCATCTCCTCCACCGCACCATCCGCGACTTCCAGGGCCGCCCCTTCAGCAAGGCGTTTTTCCACCGCGTGTACGAACAGCTTGATGTCCGCGATGATCTCCTGACGCGCGTGGCAAACGCTTACAAGAAAGAATACAACCAGGAGGGCATCGTCCTGCCGCCGCGGCCCAAGCCCGAGTATTCACGGAAATCGCCCATTCGCCCCGTCCGTCCTCGCAGACAGCCTACGCCGCCAACCTGCCGACCGGCCTCGGCGAAGAAGGGACCCAAGACGCCTCTCTCGGCCTCTGATGTTACACCCATTACCCGAAGCGAGTGGAACATGTTTGTCGGCTCCGGTATCCGTCAGATCAACCCGACCGTGACCAAGTGGACGCCGTCGCCAACTGTGCTTGCTGCCGCGTGAGCATTCAACCTCAAAAGTTCAGAGGTATAAGAAGTCCAGCGACTACACCTCCAACGCATGACCCAGTAGCTAGCCTGCAGAGCAGGAACCGACAAGCTCGGGATATCATCCACAAGGATCGCTTCGATCCGCACCTTGCCGGCCAGCAGGCATGAATGATTTATAGCCGTTTGCAGCTATAGAGTATCATCATGCACTGATTCGTGGTGGAAGAAACCACCCACGATCACATTGACATGTCAACGGCGGAATCAAATCATTCTGCTAACAGGCCGAGAATGCCTGACTGTCACTGTTATGAACCTGGTCTGACTCAGAGATCGAGTCAGACGTGTATATCTATGTCTTATTCAAGACCCCAATACTGTATATAGAAGTGAACCACAAAATGATGAGCCGATTTTCCTTCTATTGATACTTTCACCAAGCGCACTATGGTAAGTGACAATTTGCCTATCGCTGGTGGGGTGCGGTGGAGACGGCCAACATGCATAGCTAGAACAAATCAAGTGTTATCTAGTGGACTAGCATCTAGATAGCCAGTAGATAGATATACTTGGCTTCGGAATTTGTTATTCGATGAGGAAATAATTTTGTCGCACACCTCGCATTCGCGAATAAAGTGGGAGGAAGTTGACCAGTTGACCAGTTGACGGCCACCATTGAAATTCGGATAAAGCAGGAGTCGAATCACCAGCGAGTGTCGTCAACCTGGCCAGCAAACTTCTCAGAAAGAAGCAAAGATTTGCCGAATTGCATATGACTGATCTGATCTGCGCCCTGCTGCAGAAAAGGTGGAGGACCAGTCGCCAGAAGTGAGGATACGACGACCCCACGATTCTTATCACTCTCTTATCATTCCCCCTCCTCCATTGCGCTCGAAATCGTCATTGTCGTCAGTTTTTGCTTTTCGTCACTCTACTCTAGAAGATATTGGTGACTGAAGGCATACATAGATACACTGCCAGAAAAGTACAGCCAATATCAAGGTTTTTATATTGAAGATCAATCATGCGGGACTCTACGCCTATCGTCGTCGACGCATCGCTCGCAGACGACACGGGTAGCGAAACGAAGAGCAAATGGACCCCCGAATCACTTCTTCTTCGAGCAGAGCGCTCGCATCGTCGGCTGCCGGGGATCCGCAAGGTCCCTCTGCCAGCAATTGCAATCATCCTGTTTGTTGCGTTCATGAACGTTGTCGTGTGGATTGCCGCTGCGATTGTGTTGGTATGTGGCTTTCTGGACCTCACTCGGCCACTTCCTACCAGCTAACATCGTGTAGAGATACTATCCGTAGGTCTATTGACAAGGACAATGACCAAGTGTATGTACTGACCAGCACAGCTCACTAGTCTCGAATGCGGTTCTGGCATATACATTGGGCCTGCGCCATGCGTTTGATGCCGACCATATATCGGTAAGATCGAAGCAGTCTGTAACTCGGCAGCTAGCTAACATATCCAGGCAATTGATTTGATGACCCGGAGATTACTAGCAACGGGCCAGCAGCCCGTCACCGTTGGGACGTTCTTCTCCCTCGGACACTCAACGTAGGTCTCCTCCAGTCTGTCAATACAAGGCTTGGGCTTGTCTGACAGTACCAGCATTGTCATCATCACATCCATCGTCGTAGCGGCTACCGCTGCGGCGGTGTCGTCGCGCTTCGACAGCTTCAGCACCGTCGGCGGGATCATCGGGACGTCGGTCAGCGCCGCGTTCCTGATCCTGCTGGGCCTGATGAATTTTTACATTCTGTACAAGCTCTACAAGCAGATGCAGAAGGTGCTCAATCTTCCTGAAGGGCACGAGGATGAGGCGTGGAAGGTTGAGGGCGGGGGTGTGCTGTTCAATGTGCTCAAGCGCATGTTCAAGCTGATCAATCGGTTTGTGGTTTCCAGATCAGATGTACAAACGATCAACTGATTTGGTGGTTAGTCCTTGGAAGATGTACCCCTTGGGTATTCTCTTCGGCCTTGGTTTCGACACCTCCTCCGAGATAGCCCTGCTTGGAATCTCGTCCATAGAGGCTGCTCGCGGGACGGACTTTTGGGTCATTTTGATCTTTCCTATTCTTTTCACCGGTGCGTCTGCCTAAATACCACGAAGATTCATAGCTAAGAACTACAGCTGGAATGTGCCTCTTGGACACAACCGACGGAGCTCTGATGCTTTCGCTCTACATCCAACCCGCCGCCAACTTCCTCCCTCCCAAACGCGACAGCACCTCGTCCGAGACCCCCCTGATCCTCGGCGAGGATCATGAGATCGAACCGTCCCAGAACCACCGCGACCCCGTCGCCTTCCTGTATTACTCCATCGTGCTCACTCTCCTGACCGTCATCGTTGCCATCATCATCGGCATCATCCAGCTCCTCACCCTTGTGCTGAACGTCGCCAAACCCACCGGCAGATTCTGGGACGGCGTACAGATAGCAGGCGACTACTACGATGTCATTGGTGGAGCAATCTGCGGATGCTTTCTCATCGTCGGTATTCTCAGCGTGGTGCTCTACAAGCCCTGGCGGAGGTGGATCGCGAAGCGGCATGGGAAGAGCACCGGGGCGGATGAAGAAGGCACGGGATCTCGGGATGAACTGCCTCCGGCAAATGGCGAAAGAGCTGTTCTGAACGAGGGGAGCAATGCCTCTACTTCTATTGTCAGTTACGGGGCTGTAGGCAAGGGCGCAACTTCGCAGGTCGTGGCGCAGCCATAGACTGACCGATTTCTTGATTAATGAAGTCGGCTCGAACTACAATACAGACATCATGATTACAGCTCTTGAATTACCTTCTGCACTAAACAATAAAAGCTACCTTATGATATTGATACTGAGAAACCGGTTCAGCTGCAACAGACCAAGTAATGTACCGATATGCCTGAGGCATCAGCGTGACGTCAGCTGATTCGCCAAACGCGGGGAGAGACTCTTCATCCCCAGCTTGCGATAATACCACGAGTCTTGACCTGGGTACTTGAAGCGCATCTACTTACAGGCTCGCACTCCATATGGATACCAACATGAGAGATTGATGGAGTCCGCCTCTCAAACTTACTTGCGACACCATGCACATATGAGACCCACTAACGCTGCCATGCCCTCACGACATACTTTCTTATAATATTGGATATAAAACCATATATTGGCTTCTTGGTTACTATTACTACCACCCTCGATACAGCGAGTGATCGCCTAATTGTCAGATACAACAAAGCAATGGATATACACCGCGCGCTATGTCCGATATCACGACATCTTCCTCGCTGAAACATGACCTAGACGAGCGCCCTGACGGACTCGACTTCTCGTCCCTGCCACCTATCTTCGTCCTCTCGACACATCTCGAGCTGGACGTTCTGCACCAAATCGAAGAGGACCTCGTGAAGCGCGGCGGGCGCCTGACGTACGATGTCTCCGAAGCACGGCTCGTTCTAGGGCGGATCGGCCAGAAGAAGCGAGCGGCGTTGGAGCTGCGGTCTAGAGGTGTCTGGACCGAGGAGGTCTCTGTCTCTGCCTCTATCTCTGCTCCTCTGCGGACGAGCCCTGAACCGCCTGTGAAGAGACGGCGGGTTGACGTGGTTCAGCAGGGTAAACAGCCTGCCGCGCAGCTAGAGGATATTGACCTCGGTACAGAGACAGAGGATGAGGAAGATGGGATGCGGAGCTTGCATGATACACGGGGGCATCTGCGGCGGCCGAGGTCGGTATCTCCCGATACGGCGTCTGTGGCCTCGACGCCGTCGCTGACGTCTTCGGTGGCTACTGCGTTGGAGGACCATGAGCAGGCGGATGTGGTGACGGTGGTCAAGCTGGACTGGTTCAGTGAAGTCCTGAGGACTGGCACGCTCGTGTCTCTGGACCCGTTTGTGGTTTACCGCGGCCGCAGGGCTGTGCAGCCTGCGTCTGAAGCAAGCGCGGACCAATCGAAAGGAATCCTGGAGCGGGCGAAGCAAGATGCCATGGCCAGGCCGGCGGCTGCACCTCCCACAAGCCGATTCGCGTCCCGTCGCTCACGAGAACCGCACGACGGCCCATCAAGCCAGGGCCACCCGCCCAAGCTATACCGGCAAACGACATCCGAGCACGACGAAGCGGTCCCCTTACCTTCACCGCCGGACTGGGTCAAGAACCGCGTCATGTACGCCTGCATGCGGTCCGCACCGCTCCACCCGCCCAACGAGGCGTTCATCACGCAGCTAGTCAAAATCCGCAAGACCCGCGAGCTCACGCTCGACGAGATCGGCGTCCGCGCCTACAGCACCTCCATCGCCGCGCTGGCCGCCTACCCATACCAGATCCGACGGCCCTCCGAGATCCTCACCCTCCCCGGCTGCGACTCCAAGATCGCCGCCCTCTTCGCCGAATTCAAAGCCAGCGAGCACGGCACGCTCGCCGCCGCCGACGCCCTCGACACCGACCCCGTCCTCAAAACCCTCCACCTCTTCTGGAACATCTGGGGCGTGGGCGCCAAAACCGCCCGCGACTTCTACTACAAGCGCCAGTGGCGCGACCTCGACGACATCATCGAGCACGGCTGGGACAGCCTGTCCCGCGTGCAGCAGATCGGCCTGAAGTACTACGACGAGTTCCTGCAGGGCGTGCCCCGCCCGGAGACGGAGGCCATCGCCGCCACCATCACCCAGCACGCTAACCGCGTCCGCCCGCACGCGTCCTACGACGGCCGCGGC